TCTTCTAGGAAAGCTTTCTGCAAGGTGTTGGGGTGTGTCTGTGGGAATCTGAGCTAAGGTCAGGTACTGATGTTGGATGAGATCTGGCTCTGGAATCTACGTTCCAACTCATCCCATAAGATGTTCAGAAGGGTTGAGTGCCGGGTTCTGTGAACTCAAGTTCCTCCACACCAAACCGTGTCTTCATGGAGTTGGCTTTGTGCACAGGAAGCACAACCATGCTGGAACGCTAAGGTGTCCTTCCTCAAACTGTTGCCACAACATTGGAAGCCTTAAAAGAGAACTATGGGGTAGGTGTTTTTCCCCATAGTTCTCTTAAGGGTCACAGGAGGACATATACTAGCGTCCTCCCGTGACCCAAAGCTCAGTATATAGCGGGCTACAGCTCGCGGTATACCGAGACCGCCGCAGCCAGTACAGATCCCTGCAATGCTGTCGCGATCCACCCAGCTACATGATTGACAGCTGGCTCTGCCTATCTAGAGGCGGAGCCAGCTGTAGCCGCCCCCTCCTGTTCTCCCAGTCAGCGCTGGAGGATCGGAGAGGGGAGGGGGGGAATCCCTGCAGGGAGCGGTGACTGACAGTCACGGCTCTCTGCAGGGAGATGATCGAGAAGTGAGCGAGCGTTCGCTCACTTCCCGATCTATTGAGCCAACATGTGACAGTTTCATTGTCACAGGTCGGCTTGAACTATGAGGCTGAGGGAAAATCACCCCCCTCATAGTTCTCCTTTAAGCATTTCCCACATGTTTAGGTTTTTAGCATTAACAGTACCCTTCACTGGAAACACCTGAGCCCAATCATTTGTTGTGGTGTCCACATACCTTTTTGGCCATAAAGCGTATGCATTTTACTCATATGGGTAGAAGATACTGTCAGTGAGCTGGTGCTACAGAACCATCAAACGTTAGGCTAGGCCAGGGCTGGACAGATCCCAGGAGCCAGGTCCCCAATGCTCCCTAAAAAGTATTTGTCAATGGGGCCAAAAAACATCCTGCTTCCTCTTGGATTGGACAGACTGGCTTCTAAATCCCATATTATTTGTCCTCCCATAGGCTAGGCGCGCGCACACACACACACGCATGCAGCTCCATCTTTGCCAGTCATGTTGTTAGAGGGGAAAAAAATGGGACAGATCGGAGACTGCCGGAGGACACAATGCTGAGGACGGCCATCCTCAATGCAAACATTCTCTGTCCTCAGATAGAATCCACCAACAGACATCCAGGAGCTGCATGTGTCTGGCGTTTCCTGGCATGCTGCTGGTTCTAAGTTTCTTCTCTGATTTATTTATCTAACCAGCTGCATAAAGTCTGCACAGCAAATGTTCCCGATGTTCACACGCTGGTCAAGGTTTGAATCGGCTGGTGATTAATAAAATAAAACATTGCAGCACAAAGTGAAGGAACATTGAAACCACATGCTGGCTAAACACGGCTTCTCCTTCCCTCCTCTGACCGAGTGGGAGAGGGATTCATTGAGAAGTCTCAGCAAAGACACAAACCGCAGTCACACATTAGTCCAGACGCTGGATCCGGGACTTGTAGGCAGAAGCGGGATGTTTACACTAGATACCCGGAGGGGGGAAATTTCACTGCCGATTGCATGGCAAACAAGAGAGAAAACTACACTTCATTCACCCGCTGTTCTCACACATTCACCGATGCCGAGCGCCAACAAATGCCCTTCCCGTCCCTCAGCCAGTTCCATATTTGGTCATGTGTCACGGAAAACCTTATCAATACCACAATGCAAACACAAGAACTTTCCTAAAACTGTTCCAGCAAGCACTCCCTAATGTGCAAGGTGAATCTAATGCATTCCATCTGCTTTTTGATGCCAATCAAATAAAAAACGGGGAAGAGCAGACAGGACATATATATATGCATTATGTGTTAACTTGCAGCAGTTTCCAGAATAAGCAAAAAGCGCGTCTAACATCAAGGAATCTCCACAAAAATCCATTAGTCTGGGCTCTCTAAATGCAAAGGATTCACAAAAACATTTAAGTCTTTAAAAAAAAAAATGCTGCATGCTATTTTTTGCGTTTGCATTGGACCGGAACGCAGGCAAATGTTTTGCCATGCGTCTGATCGCACTGCGGGCGGGGTGTGTGGCTGTGGTGCCATTGACTTCAATGCACCACCCACCCCCCTCCGCCACAGAACGAACGGGGAAGTTTTGTGAGCGATTGCCGTGCGTTCCAGCAGCTACGGCTCAAATGACTTGAATTGCAAAGTACGTCAACACTACTAGTGGTTCCTTTCCCTCTTCTCACATAGAACTATACGAGCAAGCCAATACGTGTGGAGGCATCAAAATAGTCCCGGAATGCCCGCCTGTTAGTGGTTGCTGGAATCTTCTGCAGGACATCTAACAAGTACATTGTACATTCATTTACATAAGAAATACACTAATCATTTGGCAACATAAAGTTCTACGCTTTATAGCTCATTAAAAGGGACAGCCAGCCAAACACTGCCTGTTAACATGCATATGTAGAGGTCATTTTTTTTTAGCTGGACCAATTTTAAAGGGAACCTTAAAAATGACACTAAACTCCGGAGTTCAACCTTAACAATACATTCAGGTCCCTCAACTATGAACAACAATGTATCTTATTTGTGTGTCACTCGGCTGTAGATCCTCCAATCATCTCTGAATTGGTGCCGACACTGTCCTTCCTTCTGGAGGGGGGCTACTTTTGTTCCCCATGGCCCCTGTGTTGTAAAGTAGTCACCGTTTCAAGCTTGCTGCCGTGATGGACTACAATCTCATGTTTAGTTTACTAATTTGTATTGGGATTGTAGTCCATCCCGGGAGTGAGCTTGGAGCGGTGACTACTCTACAACACACACAGTGACCATGGGAACAAAAGTAGTCACCCTCCAGAAGGAAGGACAGTGTCAGCACCAATTCAGAGATGATTGGAGGATCTACAGCCGAGTGATACACAAATAAGATACATTGTTGTTCATAGTTGAGGGACCTGAATGTATTGTTAAGGTTGAACTCCGGAGTTAGTGTCACTTTAGAAAGTTAGAGACAAAGCAGCTGCCGTTGCTACTTTGAAGCTGCAGGCTCCATAGTGGTCATTGACTTCTTGTTCACGACACCATATTGTGTGAATGAACACTGACAGAAGTTTGCATTGTTCAATGGACCTGGTTTCAAATGACTTGAATTTCAAAGTACGTCAACACGCTGCAATGCAACTCGCTGGTGGGAACTCCTCTTACTGGAAAAGGGTTTTCTTACATCAGTGCTCTTTTCTTGCACTAGAAGATGCATCTGGGACGTTCAGTCAGTGCCAATATTCTGACAGGTTCCCTTTAAGAAAGTACAGATGGCTACACTGCCAAACCACATAGCTGATGTCACCGGTTTCCAGGACACTGGATCACCTTAATATTGGCCTTGCCCGCATAACATCTACTTCCATTGGGTGTAGCCAATGTAAAAAAAAACAAAAACTAAAATTCGGAGTCTTATGGAATGACTAATGGTTCTGGAAACACGTTGGTATCCATTATAAAAGAAAAGCTCTAAAATGTCTTCCACTCACACACACAGAGATAATCTGTGGCTCCAACTGGGTCAACTACCCAGCACGCAATGAGCCACTTGTAGCTGAGTGCCAGCCGGCCATCCACCACCGACATGGGAGACTTTCACCCTCTAAATCCCAGAGACGTTATTAAAAACACACAAACACTGTCCACTATGGCACATTAGGAGTGTACTAATCCAATAAAATACTTGACCCCACCCCCCCAACCTAGACCGTAAATAGGAATTCCACTTTAAAACCCTCCCCACATTTACTCATTAAACGTTTCATTATTTTGCTATTTAATAAAATACTTTGCCTCGGTAACAGAAATAAGCAGAAAGTTTCAAGCAAAGCGAGGGATAGAAAGATCAACACTTTTCATACATTTGGCCTGTGAAAGGGGAAGGTGGCACATTTTAAGGGATTTCCCATCTTTACTTTTCGGTTTGTTAGTCCAAACCCTCCGCACCTCATTAAATACATTGCATTTGTTAAATGGGTTACCCCCCTCCCCCTTATAAATCTGTACTGCGCTGTAAATAAACAGCAGTATCGGGTCATATCGCGGGCAATGGATATAACAATCTTTGCCAGGGTACAGAAGCTCCGAATGAAGCAGGAGGTTGCAATAGCCTTAAAGTTACAAGAGGGAAACCCCAAGCAGGTCTTCCAGCATACCTAGGTTAATACATTCTGTGCAAATTACCCGCAATGGAACTGACGTTAGGGATCCATGATGGGCGTCGTGAAAACCCACTCACCAAAATATAACTGTGCAAAACAAAGCTGTAAAACATTGGCTGCAATTGATTTCTTTGGTGCCAAAACAGCAAGTCGTTAGCCAATGCGTCTCCTTACAGCCAATGGGCTTCGCACATGTACAAAACTGTCAGTGTTGCGCCAAGCAACAAGCCAGCTGCTCCATTTCCAGATAGCTATGCAAGTTGGAAAAGGAGAAGCGGATTGGTTGCAATGAGTAACAAAGGCACTTTCATACCATGTGACACTCCATGCGCGCATTAAAAAAAAAAAAAGAACAAAATTGGTCCTGGTGACTGAATATACGTATGTGAAATAAAATCCATTGGCATTAAAATACAAAGCAGGACTTGGATCTATCCAGGTGGCAGGACTGGTATTGTCGCCTATCAGGTCTGGCTTTTTTTTTTTGCTTTCCGTTAAATGTAACTTTATTCGTGCTGACGGCTCAACCAATTAAAAACAAGAGACTCTGGACTGGAGGGCTAACAAGATTGAGCCCGAAGCCTAGATTAGCTAAGTCTTGCCACATAAAGCAAACTTAGATCATATTCAAATGGTCGAACTTACTTGGCAGAGCGCTGTGGTTTATCCCACGGACTTTCTGCTACAAGGACAATCCAAAAATGTGGAATGGACAACTTAACCAGTCCTACGCTAGGCCAGCTACATCTGGTGAGGGACACATTGGCCAGACCGCAGCGGTAGCCCTGCACCTGTTAGACAAGAATCCTATACTGAAGAAGAGGAATACTCTAGGTAAAGAAGTGAATACTTAATGATCAAATATTGAGAGGCGGCAGAACAGAGCAATAATTGAAGAGGAAATGCTGCACCAAGCTGGATTTGGAAGCAAAAGCCAAAAGACAAGTTGAGGCCATAGTCTTTTCTAACGTCTACATGCTGCCTTCACAGTCTAAAGGCCGCCATTGTGTGAATTCATTACCAGCAGCAAGACAAGGTTAATGTGGTGCCCTCGTTCTGGTCTGAGTCAACTCTCTCACTCTACCAAATATAGAGCCTTATCCTTAGCTTGTATCTACCTTCCGCCTGGAGCTCCGAGTACGCTGCCTCACTCTACGGTTAACATCTAGTTGATCAAAAAAGCAGACAGTGTTTTCTATCCTCTGCTTAGGCGACCTCTGTTAACTGGAGTTGAGATCCAGGACGGTAGCGTTTCCCATCTTCTGCTTAGATGACCTCTGCTAATCGGAGTAGAGAGCCAGGATGGTGGTGTTTTCCCTCCTCTATTCGGATGACCTGCGTTAGCTGCAGTAGAGAGCTAGGATGGTAGAGTTTCCCATCCTCTGCTTAGATGACCTCTGTTAGTTGGAATACAGAGCTAGGATGGTAGAGTTTCCCATCCTCTGCTAAGATGACCTCTGTTAAATCGGAGAAGAGAGCCAGGATGGTAGTGTTTCCCATCCTCTGCTTAGATCAGTGGTTCTCAACCTTTCTAGGGCCGGGACCCCTTGGTAACATTTACCAAGTTGTGGTGACCCCCAACCGTAAAATGTAGGGATGCACCAATACTAGTATCTGTGTGGGCTCTCGGGAGGCTATGCGGGCTCTCAGATGGCTAGTGGGACTCTCTGTTGGCGTCCAGTGCGGGCTCTGTGGTGCCCAGTGCGGGCTCTGTGGTGATCAAGCACTCACCTCCCCTCACTCCTGCCTGCTCCCCTCTCTCTGATCCTCTCTGGCTACTGCTGCTGCAACGCCATCTAGGAGAACTGACACTGCTGCGCTAGGAGGCTGAGCAGCACAAGGTATGTGGGGACCCCCTCAACTGTGGGTTGCGACCCACTTTTGGGTCGCGACCCACAGGTTGAGAACCACTGGCTTAGATGACCTTTGTTAATGGGGGTAGAGAGCTAGGACGTTAGTATTTCCCATCCTCTGCTTAGATGAGCTCTGTTAGGTGGAGTAGAGAGTCAGGATGGTAATGTGGTCCATCCTCCATTTGGATGACCTGTATTAACTGGAGTAGAGAGCCATCAGGGGCAAGCTGAATCCCTCAATGTTCTCTAGAAGTTTCCCTCAAGTGCCAGATGAAGCCGCTGGAATTAGAGAACAAAACTGTGATATGCCTCAGAGACAGCCGTGCCTCATGTATCTCCTTCGTTCCCCTCTGCCTAAGTCTTCCCCTACACACAGCAAGCAATAACACTAAGATTCAAGTGACCAGGGTTGGCTTTATCTTCATAAAAGTCTGGTTCAGCTCACAAAATGGCTGCCCGGCGCCTACAAGACGAGCGCACTCTTCCTTCACAAAAACAAACTCGTTATCCTGAATTTAGAACATACAATTAGGACATCGGACAAGGCCCTGGAATGGCAAATTCAGACCTATGAATTCTACATGGCAATGGACCCTTTAGTTGCGCTACACCAATCACGACCTGCAATGCTAATTTGCGCAGAAAGCGGAGGCAACTTTGGTCTTGGTTAGAGTTCTAGCAATACTTCGACTAAGACGAGTAGACACTGCACATAAAAATAAAGAAAAAAACATAATAAAATACAACCCGACCAAAATATTTGACCACCCCTAACAAGTCCCCAGTAAGTAATAACAATTTGGTTTTTAGAAAGACTGTTCCCATGAATACGAAATCTAAAAAAAAACATAGAAAAAAATCATTGGTATAGATTAAAGTACATTATTATTATTAATATTATTTTTTTTTCCTTTTTTTCATTTTCTTTAGTGGATAACAGAATCCTCAGTCTAATTTCAGCAAGGATCTGCTTGGTTGTTGTAAGTGAAAAGAGAGTAAGAGATGTTCGCTAGCGATGAGGACACTACAATATAATGCAAGGCTTTTTATCCTTGAAGGGGTTTTCTGATGTTGGAATGCCCATAAGCAAGGGGTCGTTCTTGGCATGCTCGTCACAGTAACGCATGAGATCAGCCGATGCTTTGGAAATCTGGAAAAATGAAAAAATTAAACTTTAAACCGCGTTACAGCCATGAATACAGCTGAAAGACATATAGGCAAACTGTCTTGCATGCCAAAGGATTGTTATTCTGGTCAGCCAGTCTTGTGTGTCACACTTCAAAGCCAAAAATAAGAAGGTCCCATTGCACTCCTTACTGGAATCCCATTCAAAATGCTTAGGTGGTGCTGAAGTAGACAGCGGATGGCACTGCATAGATCAGGGGTAACCAAATTCTGGCCCTCTAGCTGTGGTAAAACTACCAATTCCATGAGGCATTACAAGATTCCCACAGCCACGACACCCAGAGACAGATGCATCATGGGATTTGTAGTTTTAGACCCACTTATTCTTTTTGAGCTTGAGAAAGAGGATCTCCTCGAAACGCATTGCTCCTTCCCCACTGACCATCGAACACCCCGCCCCGTGAACGTCCTTCCTTCACTATGGGTACTGCTGTTATGCCAAAATATTGGTGCCGAGTTTTACCTTTATTCTCTCTATAGACGCCTCCACTCTGAGTTGCTGGACGGTTCTCCTTGCTTGTGCTATGTTATTCGTGCTGGTAGTTTTGGTGGACATCTTTGGTGAAGTCTGAGGAAAAGAAAGAAGGGAAAGTTACGGGTTATCTGGAGCTGGATAATCAAAACATTCCACAGATATGAGCTTGATTTAGGCCACACGCATGCACACACCCAGGCTCTTGGCAGAGGAAAATTTGCGACGCCTGGGAAAGGAATGCACTAAACATTCCTCCATCATGTATGTGACACATATGGGTCGTGTTGATGCGACATATACAACTCGGGAACAATGGGCTGGATTTCACAACGTGGTTGGTTATATTTTATTTTTTTAATTTTAGGAAATGTCACACAAAGTCATACCACCATTTAGGCTCGGTGCAGACCTATGCGATCCGGGATTGCGCGGTCCTGCACAATGCAGGGCGCGATTGCCGTGCGGCCCCATTGATTTCAATGGGGTGACATCCGCGTGGCAAACGCAGAAAAAAGGTTCATGTACCTTTTTTTTTGCGACACATGACTGTTTTAGGAAGTACGGGCAGAATCCACGTGATCCGCCCGGCGCGACTGGGGTGCCATTAGAAAATAATGGCATCCACAGCGCGATCGGTGGACGCCTAGGCGACTCCTGACCGTGCGGCAATCAGCGTGGAATCGTGCACGATTGCCGCGCGATGAGGTGTCGCCTAAGTGTGCACCGGTGAACATGCCAGCTCACACTTTTCTGGGTTTGATGGCAATTCTTAAGGCAATTGGAGAACATTTCTCAAATGGTATCATCTTAAAACGAATGCATTTTATTTCTCGGTTGGAGGAGAAACAGTAAGACAGTCAAATATGAAGAACAATTTGATGGCTAAATGATTAATGTGCACAAATGCAAAATGGGCTTTTGGGAGATAATATTTAACTTTAGGTGTATTTCCTGCAATCGCGAGTACTCAACACACTGCCGACTTGTCAGTCATGTCTTCTGAAATATTATTATTATACAGGATTTATATAGCGCCAACAATTTGCGCAGCTCTTTACAATATAAGGACCAAGTTGAACAGACACCGTCTCCTGTCCATTCAAGGAAGAGTTATACAGGTGAAACTCGAATAATTAGAATATCGTGCAAAAGTAATTGCAGTAAGTGCTGCAAAAGGGGCCCAAACCAAGTACTGAGTACATATGCATGCTTGTACTTTTCAGAGGTCCAATATTGTTCTATGTACAATCCTTGTTTTTATTGATTGCATGTAATATTCTACTTTTCTGAGGTTGTGGATTTGGGGTTCTTGGGGTTTTCATGAGCTGTAAGCCATAATCATCACAATTATGACAAATCATGGCTTGAATTATCTTGCTTTGCATGTAATGAGTCTATCTCATATATTAGTTTCACCTTTTTAAGTTGCATTAGTGAAATAAATGAACTTTGCACGATATTCTAATTATTCGAGTTTCACCTGTATAACCTCCTGATAGAGTATAAAAAGATCTACAGTCTAACAAACAAAACAAGGAAAAATCTTGGCTGCATTTGTACCTATTCACCCTCTTAGCTGTGAAGCCCTTAGCTCTGCTGCAACCAACGGCCTTCACACACCCAAATTATTATTTGTAGTCTACCTATATGTAACAGAAGTGTCCTATGATCCCAAATATACCAGTTTATGGGAGGCCTCAGGAGTTTGACAACATTCCTAAGGGAGCCGTCAAAAAGTCCTAAAGCTGTAAAGAAGATTCAATCAGATCTCAGTAATGAAATCTTCTCTGCCTAGAGAAGCCGCCCACTAAAACTTAATTACTGGGCACCGATGGAATTTACCAGAGATACATCAAGAGGCGAATGGTAAATCTGAAGGGATTGCAGACATCCAAATTCATGAGAAGTCAATGAGACAACTATAACCTGGCTGCTCCAAAAAGCTGTGCTAAAAACACTATCAATCTTCCTGAGGAGATACCAAATGGCATATGAGAGAGACGTCAGATACGGAGAGGCTTCGGTCCGATGAGACCAAAACTAAAAACTTTGGCCTTATGCAATTCAGCAGGGGATGGGAAACTAGTTACGACTGAGAGAAAGCTGGATGAACCCACAATCAGGGTAACCTAGAAAACCTTTTTCAATGTTAGACCCAAGGTGAAGATCACCTTTCAGCAGGACAATGACCCTAAACACACAGCCAAACCAAAACTGGAATGGTTTAAACCAAGGACATGCATCGCTTGCAATAGCCGAGTCAAAGCTCATATTTTAATTCATCCATCTTTGATATACTTAAAAAATGCTGATCACCAGGGATCCCGATTCAATGTTGTAGAGCAAGAGCACATTTTTCAAGAAAAAGGGGCAAAAATGACAGGACGGCAGAGACTTCTATAAGTAAGAGCCTGTGCTATTTATTTATTACAGGTATTTCTATAACACCGACAATATTACACAGCGCTTTACATAGAGCGGATTCACATCAGTCCCTGCCCTCAAGGAGCTTACAATCTAAGGTCCCTATCACACATACAGGTGAAACTCGAATAATTAGAATATTGTGCAAAGTTCATTTATTTCACTAATGCAACTTAAAAGGTGAAACTAATATATGAGATAGACTCATTACATGCAAAGCAAGATAATTCAAGCCGTGATTTGTCATCATTGTGATGATTATGGCTTACAGCTCATGAAAACCCCAAGAACCCCAAATCCACAATCTCAGAAAAGTAGATTATTACATGCAATCAATAAAACAAGGATTGTACATAGAACAATATCGGACCTCTGAAAAGTACAAGCATGCATATGTACTCAGTACTTGGTTTGGGCCCCTTTTGCAGCACTTACTTTTGCATGATATTCTAATTATTCGAGTTTCACCTGTACATACATACGAGGGCCAATTTTTAGACTGGAGCCAATTAACCTATCAGCGTGTCTTTGGAGTGTGGGAGGAAACCAGATGATCCGGAGGAAACCCGCACAAGCACAGGGAGGAAGGGCTTTCATGGAGAAACGCAGTGTGCTTTTGACATCAGTTTGAGATGCTTCCGAGACCATTTAGGATTGACTTGATTCAGCTGCCTTTGCATCCCCATAGATTTGCATGGTAAGAAAAGCCGTGGACCTAAAGCTGGCCATACGCTGTTAGCATATCAGAAATCAGCTGAAATTCTTACACTGTGTAGCTCTGCCAGCTCGACAAAAGTCAATTGCTCAATCAACTATTGCTGAAGGAGCCGGGACAAACATTTTCTGTCCAACAGTGTCTACATAAGAGTACAAAAGAATCATGTATGTTAACGAATACTGTTTATAACTTTTATTATATACATTTGAAAAAACCTTTTAAATGATTTCAATAAATTTGTATGTTTTGATAACCATCGCTGTTAAAAACCCCTCCACAACCTGTGTTGTAAATGCTATACAAGTGATTAGATTGGGGTGAGGTCTCAGTTCCCTAGGGGAGTAGTTTGGAAAGTGCATTTTTGGAGTGATGAGTGTCTACATCTAGTCACCGTTCATGTGTTCTGGCAATGGCGAGACGCCGGCTATAATACACACAGTATAATAATAGGAGATTCAATAGGAGATCCACTGCTTAGCGTGGATGGAGGAATCGGTTAGATGTTTTTTGTTCATACCGCAAGCTGAACGATATAAAACTATTAGTATGTGGCCAGCTCAACACAATCCGTGACCCAAGAAATGCATTGTATGGACAAACTGCAGGAAGCCTTGGGATCGTTGTGACCCCCCCTAGCTGTTTGCAAACTACAACTCCTAGCATCCTAGCCTAATGGTCCCAACCTTTTGCACTTAATCAAAGTGGCATGTAAGGCCGTGTAACTTCCCAGCAGCTGCAGAGCGCCCAAAACATCCTACAAACTATTACAGATATTTTCACATCTACTGAAGTGTCCCAGGCGTATTATACTGTACAGGAGAACCTCTGCAGAGAAATAAACAGGCTTTGCAAGGTCCCAGCATCAGCATTGGACAAATCACACACAAAAGAATGGACTGGTGGCACCTTGCCAGTCACTGAACAAATGGCCCAGAATTGTGTAGGATGAAAATACAACAGAACCACCATCCAGTCACACCATAAAGTCCAATACAATATGTAGAAATCTTAATAAAATTTGGTGCTGCAATTTTAGGAATCTATTGGGATGAGCTATTGTTCACACGCTGGCATTACAGCCTCTGCAGAGGTAAAGAAGAGAAAACCCCTAATGCGGGTGTAGCATGGAACATGGTCAGAAATGTTGTTTTTCCTTAAAGAAACATGACATTGGGGCTGTAATTTGTTATGTGACTCAGATAGTTCTTCTTGCAGATACTTTTACGTATAAAGATTCATATATACATCTGACAAAAAAAGGCAAAACCCAATCCTAGCAGAAACACTTTCACCCCCGGTACAGACGGCACGTCACCGGACTCAAGAGTGCAAAATGCTCTGCAGAAACTACACAGGTGCAGGAGTGCCAACCCCCCCAAAACACCATTCTTATTCTAAACAAAAATTCTGCAATACGTACCATGTTTTTTTTTTTTTACTGCACCCCAACTCACGGTATTATGTAACCCCACATTGCAGCACAATGAACGCCAGCCAGGAGGTGCACAGGAGTGCCATTCAGATAATGGCAACACATTGCACCTAGCCCTAGCAAGTGGTAATGGAACCTGTAGGGCTTCATCTGCAGGTGGGCATTCTGGGGCCCCAGTAGGAGAAGACCAGATGTTCCACTGTGCTGGTCTCTTCTGTACACTAGTCAGGGTCCAATTTCTAATCTAAACTTGGAGTCGAAATCCAAAACACAGCTCGTCTTAAACACTGCATCAACCATTGTGTGCGTAGACCACAACACCGTATGACTGGGTGGAAACATCATCAACAAAAGCCGTTCCAACTGTGTGAACAGACGTAAGTTGTGACCCCGTCTGATACCCAACGTCTTGAGTTTAAACTTTGTTAACATTTCCAGAGTGGCTGCAGGGAAAAAACACACAGCGTGTACATCGGGCTTATGACAATGTCCGATATATCTATCCATCTATCCACACAC